AAATGTACATACTAAAATGAAGACTAGAGAAAATAGTTCAAAAATGATAGTAAAAGTACATTTTCTACTGACCACCTTGGCAGCCAAGGCAAAAAGGAAAATAAGTGAGACCATAGTTTTCACAGATTAATATGTTTGTCAGGAGACAGTTTGTTCACTCTTTTCCTGGCACTAAATTACATAGCTGAAGTTAACCATGCTTTTAAATCATATAGTCATAGGTATACCTATGGCTGATTCATGCTGATGTTTGGCAGAAACCAATACAATACTGTAAAGCAGTTACCCTTAAATTAAAAATAAATAAGTTAAAAAATTATATAGTCAGTGTCTTCAACTACAGTTTTAAAGAATGAATAAAAATGTTTGAATATTTAAACAACCCTAAGTACCTGATGCTGGGAGGGATTGGGGGCAGGAGGAGAAGCGGACGACAGAGGATGAGATGGCTGGATGGCATCACCGACTCGATGGACATGAGTTTGAGTAATTCCAGGAGTTGGTGATGGACAGGGAGGCCTGGCGTGCTGTGATTCATGGGGTCGCTAAGAGTTGGACACGACTGAGTGACTGAACTGAACTGAAGTACAGTGAGTGTTTGGCCCTCAATCGTAATACAGTGCAGGCCTCGTGTTGTTCTTGGAGTTCGTGTAAGTGTAGGCCAGGTCAGCACTTCCCGGTGCCCTGGGGCTGGTGTCACCCTCAGACCCTCTTTCAGGTTTCAGGTCTCTCAGGGGGTGCTCACAGCAACTGGGAAGCTGTTTGTCAGGATCATGGATGCTGAGATGTAGATCTTTTATACCCCTGACAAGAGAATGAAATCGGTGTTTCTTAACCACATATGAGCTCTCTCTCAGCATTCAACATGATGTCTTGTGTGGGCTGTTTCTTACCTGGATATTTTAAAAGGGAAATATGTCTTCACACTCCCCATTTTTTCAGTTTTCAGAAGTGCTGACATCTCAAGAGATGTTAAGATTTTGGAAAAAGAAAAAAATTGTCCTCTGCCTTTCTAGGTTCTTCTAGCTGGTCTAAGAATTTGACATGAGCCAGATAAACAGGAGAAAGTCAGAGTTAATCACATATGCACAGGGGCCTGTCCTAGGAGGCTTCCATGGCATCTGAGAGGAGGAGGAGAAGGGGTGGACATTGAGGACTTCAGCAGGCAGGAGGCAGTTCACATGGAGACAGGCAAGCAGGTGTTTGGAGAACAGATGTTTGTGGGGACTTGCTGGGATGGTGGGACGCAGAGAGGACTCTTGTTTTCCAGGCCCCACCCAGCTCCCCACACCCGGCCCGTGCTTTTTGTAGATCTCCCAGGATAGTGCTCTTCTGGGCCAGGCCCTTCCTCTGAGGTCTGTAGGCAGGTGAGGGGCAGGTGAAAAGACTTCATGAACTGTCTGTTTCTTAAAAATGATCATCATGAAATAATCATCGTGTTGAAGAGACATTCTGTGGGGTGGCAGATTTTGTTTCCTTACAGAGTTATGGATGACATTAGAGAAGGAAGTATTACACATCTCAAATTTTGCTTTTTGGGCTGTACAAATAACGGTTTAATGTCCAGCTCCTGTGGATTGCTGGTACATATCAGATGCCCTTTGAGTGAACTGTGAGTTGAATTGGTGTATTAATCTTCATGTGTAAAGAGACTGACTCGGTACTCAGATAACTCACTTAGATAGCTCTATGAAGTCCTGTTAGAGATGCGTTTTCACCCCTGAAGTGAAGTCTATAGTCGCTTTTCCTCTTGCCTGACAGTGAAGTGAAGTGAAGTCACTCAATCGTGTCTGACTATTTGCGACCCCATGGATGGTAGCACACCAGGCTCCACGGTCCATGGGATTTTCCAGCAAGAATACTGGAATGGGCTGTCATTTCCTTCTCCAGGGTATCTTCCCAACTCAGGGATCGAACCCAGGTCTCCTGCATTGCAGACAGACGCTTTACTGTCTGAGCCAATAATGTAGCCTTAACCCAAAGGCATGGTAGCTCAGCTGGTAAAGAATACGCCGGCAATGCAGGAGACCCAGGTTTGATTCCTGGGTCAGGAAGATCCACTGGAGAAGGTATAGGCTACCCACTCCAGTATTCTTGGGCTTCCCTTGTGGCTGAGCTGGTAAAGAATCTGCCCGTGATGCGGGAGACCTGGGTTCAATCCCTGGGTCGGGAAAATCCCCTGGAGAAGGAGATGGCGACCCAGTATTCTTTCCTAGAGAGTCCCATGGACAGAGGAGCCTGGCTTGCAATGGGGTCGCAAGAGTCCAAGAGTCAGATACAATTAGCGACTAAACCACCACCACCACCACTCACTCCAGTATTCTGGCCAGGAAAATTCCAGCTACTGTGTAGTCCATGGGGTCGCACAGAGTTGGACATGACTGAGCGACATTTCCTTACTCATTATTATTGTTGTTGTTGTTATTACTATCATCATCTACTGTAAAGGTGGAATAGTGTCTGCTCTCTGCACCCTCTTTTATTGGAGGCCGGGCAGCTTCTCAGTAGAGAGAGGAATGGACCTGTGCCTGGCAATTCACCTGCCCGCTCTGCCCTGAGCAGGTGGCCACAGCTTTCCCTCCCCTGTGGGTGGAGATGAGACACCCGCTCCCAGGTGCTGCGGAGGGGAGAGGAGGACATGCGGGCACGCCCGTGCCCAGGTCTCCATGGTGGCCTGTAACACTGTGGGTGAGGCGACCTCTGTGTGTTCCCAGCTGCAGGCCCCTGGTATCAGGACTGCCATGTGCCCGGCGGCACACAGGACTCACAGGCAGCTCAGGTGATGCTCAGGAGTGTTAGAATTGACCACACTGGGTGTCAGGACAGCAGATCACCACGCTTTCCAGGCCGAGCCCAGGGAGTCGATTTTTCTCCAGAGCTTTGTCAGCTGGGTCCCCGACGTGTAGGGCAGGGTTTTGTGCCTCCATTCAGTATTAGACGGTGTTTGTTCCAGGACTCAGCGTGGCTTCAGATGCCCGGGCACTCGAGCCCTTCACAGATGATCCTCTGTGTCCGTGGATCGTCTGGGAGGAGTGTTCTGCTGCTGCTGGTTGAATCTGCAGACAAGGATGCTGCAGGGGTGGAGGGCAGACTGTGTATCTGAGGTCTGGACTTTCTACAGTAAGCATTGTATTCCCCAGCCCCCTTCTACCTAAACCTCGCAGACCTATGCAGCCACAAACGCTCCCTGGTTGGAATCTTCCTCAGGGCGCTAGCATTGACTGTGACTATAAACTCTTTTATTTTCTAATAAAATTTGTAGGCTTCTGTTTTGACCTTTACATAAATTAAAACTTAGCTGTTGGTTGAAGAAAAGATCCCTATTGTTTATGTTAGGGTGGTTATTCTCACTAATACAATAATAGATGATGTGCTTCATATGATACCTAGAGTGAGTCAGTGCTAAGAACTTTCCTACTGGGATAAAAAGATAAGCCCACAAGTCATTGTCACGCCATAGGAAGTTCAGTCAGGCTCGTGTGTTTAAACCACAGCCTCCTCCGAGCCCCGTGGAGTTCTGTCCCCTCACTTGTGCTAGTTCCCAGAGCTCATGCTCTTCCTGTCTGGGTTCTGTGTTGTTTGACAGGTGTCTTCAAGCCGGGATGGCTTTGGGCTGAGACTGTGATGGGAGAGGGTGGACAGTGCAGGGGCCAAGACTCACCCCATCCCGGGGTTCTGTGCCTGTGCAGGACTGCAGGTCACTTTGGCCTGTGGATCCTGGGGGCCCCCAAAGGCCACTTGACGGACGTGCTAAGACCAGGAGAGGTGGAGCGGTGGCTGATGGCTGGAAACGCTGACCCCCATGCCCACTGAGCTGCCTTCACACCCATCCCTCAGCCAGCCCCCCAGTGAACCCCGAGAGCCCGCTCTCCACCAAGTGGTCAGCTGGAGTGTGAACCTGATCTCTAGTCCAGAACTCAAGATTTTCCCCTCTTTAAAGGAGGAATCTTGTAAATGTTCTTAAAAAACCTTTTTCTTGTCCTTACTGGGTACTTCAGAAACAATAGTTTAGGCAAGTCCTTTGTCAGAAGATAGGGAAAGGTTTTCTGTCCTGGAATCACAGTGGTACCCATCTGCAGTTCAGAGCTGAGTATACACAGACAGTGGGTTTCCCAGGTGGTGCTAGTGGTAAAGATCTTGCCTGCCAGTGCAGGAGATGTAAGAGACACAGGTTCGATCCCTGCAGGGGTTGGGAAGATCCCCTGGTGGAGAGCATGGCAACCCACTCCAGTATTCTTGCCTGGAGAATCCCATGGACAGAGGAGCCTGGTGGGCTACAGTCCATGAGGTTGCAAAGTCGGATTCAACTGAGCAACTTCACACAGCACGTACACAGACTGGGTGCTTGTCCAGTTGATTTTCTGAAGGAGAGAATGTCACCTGAAACATTTGGAGACCACCTCTCTAAGCCAGGGAGTTTGCTCCCTCTATAAAACGAGATCTCTTTTCAGCTCTTGTGATTGTCCTGTGGGTTCAGCAGGACCATCTTGGCAAAGGTTTCAGACTCCACCAGTGTAGACGGAGTGAGTGCTAAGTAACAAGCAGCTCAGATTAACTGTCGGATCCTGGAGGTTACTTCCAGTGGTTGTTTTCACATGTGCTTGTGTCAATCTCTAGGGTTAGACAACTTGTATTTTCTAATGTCAGGAAGCTTCTCATGTGTTGGGCCATTGACTTGGACTTGTACGTAGGTTGATTTTGAACTTGTTAGGTTGCAAAAGAGAGCAGCAGACAAGACTTTACAGGAGGGCAGACGGTGCCTGTGGTCAGATGCGAATTACTCATTTATGTGTGTTGCACCTTGTCTGTACATGGTAAATGGAGTGTTTAAAATTCATGCAGTACTGGTACTTTTGAATTTAGGCAAGATCAGTTTTCTAGGGCTCAGTTTTTAGATGTTAAAGTGAGCAGAGATGACAGTGTATATTATGCTTCAGTTTTGAAAAGGACTCTTTACTGATTCAGTTCTAACCTCCCTTGCTGTCCTTCTTGTGTTTCAGGGAATATCTTGGTAAACAACTCCAGTCTGAGCAGCCGCAGACTGCAGCCGCCCGGAGCTGAACGGGCTCTCAGGGCTTCCCTTGGATCTCCAGCGGTCCCCTCACCTGGGGTAGAAGACCTGGAGTGGGGTCTCAGTAACTGTGGTGAAGAACAAACCATTCCTCATTTTATGTGTCATTTTCTTCCGTTGTGTAGCTTTTCCCAGTGCTGATTTCCCATTAAGTTGTCTTAAAGTAGGTGCTTTCTGTATCTAAGGAAAATATTGCTGTTACATATACTGCTCGTAATCTGTGTATTTATTGTTCTCTGGAATGAATATAGGATTATTAAAGCATTCTCACTCCAAATGCATCTTTTCTCTTTCCTTGTTCCTGACTTGAGCTGTAACAAAAATACCTTTTGTCCCACCCAAATTGGGAGAACTGTATTTGCAGAGTGGTGAATGGTAAATAAATGTTTTGAATTCATATGTATTTTTGTCTTCCATCCATCCGCCTGCCCATCCACACATGCACATTGCAGCAGTCTTCTGCTAGTATTGAGAAAACCTTAAAATGTTAAATGATCTCTTAACATGATGCTGTCATCTAAGAGACTTTCTTATGAAGCGCAGTGAGGAATTTTAGCTTTAGGTTATTTTCACTGATTTCTTATTTACTGTTGGATTTTAGTACTTCAAGTCTATTTTAATACTTTCTGGTTTAAATATTGCCAATAGGTATTTTATTTCTACCTCCCACCTTTTATTCTGGAACTCCCAGCCTTCATGGGGACATCTATGCCCTGTAGGTTTACCTCCCCCAGATCTGAGCCTTTTGTTTTTAACCTTAACGCCTGGTCTGAGTCTCATTTTTCTTTCATTTTCACTTTTCATTCTGAGCAGTTCTCTGATTGTCGAGTAAAGGTGGTAAGGCTAATGGTTTACATGGTAAGTTTTCTTCTATAGAAAGACACTCCTAGCACCATCTCCTGTTTAAGGATAAAAGATTGAAAAGGTTGACTTGACCACCTTCGTCCAGTTCCCACTTCTCCCACCCCATGCCTCTGACAACCACAAATCTGATCGCTTTTTGAACTAATGTTTTCATTTCCTTTGGATAAATACCCAGAAGTGAAATTGCTGGATTGTATGGTAGCTCTATTTTTAACTTTTTGAGGAACCTCCATACTGTTTTTCCACAGTAGTTGTACTGACTCACATTCCCACCAACAGTGCACAAGGGATCCCTTTTTGCCACATCCTTGCCAACACTTGTTAACTCCTCTTGCTGATAATAGCTTCTCACAGCTGTGAGGTGATGTTTCATTGTGGCTTTGATTTGCAGTTATCTGGTGATTACTTTTCAGCATCTCTTCATGTGCCTGTTTGCCATCTGTATGTCTTTGGAAAAATACCTCTTCAAGTCCTCTGCTCATTTAAAAATTATTTTTAACTACTTTTATTGTTTAAAAATTCTTTTTTGTGGTGGGAAACTTCTTTTTTGGGTCTTCTTGACCTTCATATTTTAGAAGATATGTGAAAAGGGCCTTCCCATTGGCAGGTAAAACTTATTCCCACACATTGTACCTGGACAGTCACAAGTACCAGATTTATAGAATATGTGACAAGCAACCTGTTTTATTACAAAAGACCTAGTTAGAATGTTTCTGGCAGTTTCCAGTGATTTTCAACATTTGGGCCAAGGTCTGCCTTTGGAATAACACAAAACAAGTCTTATCCTTAAGATTCTACGTTTTAAAAACACATTTATTCTAGAATAGTGCTTCTTTATTTTTGTCATGTAAACATGTTTCTATTTGAATGCTGGACACCTCAGACCACATTTTGACAGAGCAAGTTGAAACAAACGTGTGTCATGTGATGTGTCAATGTGAGACGGAGCCCTTCCTTCCTGGGTGGCCCAGACATCAGGAGAAACTGTTGAAAGAGTGAAATTTTTTGCTCTGAAGAGAGCAGCAGTGCCTGTGATCCCCCCAGAGCAGGGGTCCTGACTGGGGCTTGCAGACACACTGCCTTGCTGGCACCCTGCCACCTATTGCACCCACACAACTGACAGCTTGGCATGGGAGCCTGACCTGCAGGCAGCGAGTCTGGAGATGACAACCCCAAGCGGGTGGGCCCAGGAGGGGACACGCTGACCAGGATGTCTTTTTTGGGATGTTGACATGAGGCGTAGATGAAAGTAACTGGCAGTGAGATGACACATGTGGAAGAGATACCTAGAGAGATGAAAAGGCTTTAAAACCCGAGTAAAAATCCCTGAGGCAGAGAGGAGAGTTGCAGGTGAGCTGGGTGACAGCCAGGTGAGAAGGGCAGGATCACTGGTGCCCAGTCATCAGACTTGTGGGAGGCGGAGGACAAGAGTCGCTGCCCAAGACCAGTGGGTGGACCTGGGTGATCACTGAATATAAGGTCCACATGTGAAAAACACTTCTCTGGGGTAGCAACCAACAACTGGGAATTTAAAATAGTGTAAAAACACTTCCAAAATTTAGAGAGTATCTATAAGCAATATGTGAACCGAGAACTTCCAGATGTTTAAGCTGGATTTAGAAAAGGCAGAGGAACCAGAGATCAAATTGCCAATATCTGCTGGATCATCGAAAAAGCAAGAGAGTTCCAGAAAAACATATTTCTGCTTTATTGACTACGCCAAAATCTTCGACTGTGTGGATCACAACAAACTGTGGAAAATTCTGAAGGAGATGGGAATACCGGCCACCTGACCTGCCTCTTGAGAAACCTGTATGCAGGTCAGGAAGCAACAGTTAGAACTGGACATGAAACAACAGACTGGTTCCAAATAGGAAAAAGAGTACATCAAGGCTGTATATTGTCACCCTGCTTATTTATCTTATATGCAGAGTACATCATGAGAAATGCTGGGCTGGAAGAAGCATAAACTGGAATCAAGATTGCCGGGAGAAATATCAATAACCTCAGATATGCAGATGACACCATCCTATGGCAGAAAGTGAAGAGGAACTAAAAAGCCTCTTGATGAAAGTGAAAGAAGAGAGTGAAAAAGTTGGCTTAAAGCTTAACATTCAGAAAACTAAGATCATGGCATCTGGTCCCATCACCTCATGGGAAATAGATGGAGAGACAGTGGAAACAGTGTCAGACTTTATTTTGGGGGGCTCCAAAATCACTGCAGATGGTGACTGCAGCCATGAAATTAAAAGATGCTTACTCTTCGGAAGGAAAGTTATGACCAACCTAGATAGCATATTAAAAAGCAGAGACTTTACTTTGCCAACAGAGGTCCATCTGGTCAAGGCTATGATTTTTCCAGTGGTCATGAATGGATGTGAGAGTTGGACTGTGAAGAAAGCTGAGTGCTGAAGAATTGATGCTTTTGAATTGTGGTGTTGGGGAAGACTCTTAAGAGTTCCTGGTTGCAAGGAGATCCAACCAGTCCATCCTGAAGGAGATAAGTCCTGGATGTTCATTGGAAGGACTGATGCTGAAGCTGAAACTCCAATACTTTGGCCACCTCATGCGAAGAGTTGACTCATTGGAAAAGACCCTGATGCTGGGAGGGATTGGGGGCAGGAGGAGAAGCGGACGACAGAGGATGAGATGGCTGGATGGCATCACCGACTTGATGGACATGAGTTTGAGTAAACTCTGGGAGTTGGTGATGGACAGGGAGGCCTGGCGTGCTGCGATTCATGGGGTCGCAAAGAGTTGGACACGACTGAGCGACTGAACTGAACTGAGCTGAACTGATAAGATCTGTGCACTAAAAACTAAGGTTCCTAAGGCAAATGAAAGAAGATGACACACAGGAGGATATATGTCCTGATCATGGATTAGGAGATGCACATGGTTAGGGTGTCAGTTCTTCTGGGCTGGTCCATAGATTCCATGTAGTCCCAACAGCAGTACCATCTGGCTTCGATGTAGAAATAAACAAGCTGATTTGAATGTTTGCATGGAGATGCAAATGACCTGGAAGAGCTGAAACAGTTTTGAAAGGATTTAAAGTTGGAGGCATTAACAGTACTTGGCTTTAAATAGAGCCGGGGTGGTACTGGCATAAACATCAGTGTATATACCAGTGACAGGATAGAGTCCAGGAACAGAGCTTGATGGAATCAGTCTAAATGAGCGAGAACTAATTTGGGAGATTAAAAACAAGATAGGATGAAAATATTGCACGTGATAGAATGTGAGCTGTGAAGACCATGATCAGACTTTGTGTGGAGGGCCTGCCACAAGTCCTGTAAATGCTTTTCCTTGTCTGAAGCTTGGAACAGCCCTCTTGTGAGGCTGCGGCTGTTAGCCCTGTTTTAAAAAGGTGGAGGGTCAGAGTGAGGTTAAGTGACTTAGCCAAACTAATGGGATTTGCACTCAGCTTGAACAACTATCCAGTTGACACAAGGAAAATCAGGGGTAGATGCCTATCAGAGATATTCTAAAGTCAAAACAAGCACCCAATTTACTACCTAAGCAACTAGATGACCGAGCAGTAGAACCTTATTGAAAATGAGTGGAGGGACTTCCCTGGATCTTGGACTTGGTACCCGAGAGGGGCTCCCAGAGGCCCATCTGCCTGGACAGGCCCAGCTTCAGGCTGTGCCGTGTGAGGTAAACCCTTCTATTGTATCTGGAAGTGCTATTTTCCAAGCACATTAAAATTCAGGTGGCATCCCGAGTGAAAACTAACCAGGCACTGAACTGTAAAAGACATGCCGTGCATAACCAAGCTTCAAAGGAATGTTTAATAAGCATATGATTAATGTCTGGTGCAGATTTACTCAAATTAAGTTTTATTTTGAGGTGATAACATAACACTGAGATGGAGATAAATGATTAGCCACAGAGTTTCTGTATCACCACCGTATAATCCAACCATCCATCAGCATTTATTTTTAAAAATCTTAGCAAATTTTTTGATGTATAGTACATTAATTCAATTCAAATCAATCAAGTTGTTAAAAGTTGTGAGCAAGACTGGCCTGAGTTGTTAGTGTGTCCAGGAGTGTGTGTCTCTTTAGGTGTGTGTTTGTGTGTCTGTTTCCATGTGTGTGTGTTCAGGTGTGTATGTGTATATAAAAGAATGTGCAAGAGATGCTACTTCTGTCTTTGAAGACTTTATAATATAGGAAGAGAGAGGAATCAAAGTTTTAATATAGGGCAAATGTGCTGAATTCTAAAAGAAAAATTAAAAATGTCTCATGTGGTTGCCAGGAATGACGTACTACTTTGGTTTAGAGAAACAGGGGAAAAAATTACAGAGGAAGAGATGACACTTGTTAAAGAGATGAGGTCTGTGTTGCTTTTTCCAGGGGCGTTTTCTAAGTCCTCAGTCACCTGACTTGCTCTGAGCTCCACCAGCGCAACTGCCCTCCTCACCTGACCGCCGACATCCCTGTCGGATGGGGTAGGTCCGAGTCAATCCCCACCTGACAGACTTCACAGCGCTGATCATTCTTCAGCAGCCCTGCTGTCTCTGAGGGTGATCTGTTTGCAGCTTTGACTGATCCTGGTGGGATGAGATGTGTCCCACCTACTCAGCAGAGAGGGAGCTGAGGTCATCACCAAGCACAGCCACTCTTGGGATCATCTTGCAAAGATGCACCTACTAAAACTGGCACCTGGAAAGCGTGGGCATTCCAGAGAAGAGACCAGACTGTCTGGGCGTGGACATGGTGGGAGCCCACAGAGAGGACCACGCTGAACCTACAGCCAGTGAAAGGTCATCACCTGTCCATGGGGAAGGAAACAGACGTCAGTTTCATTATCCATCAGCATCTCTTTTGACAGCATCCTCCCTGCGGGCTGTGCTTTGAGGTCATGACTGCTCCTTGCTGGCTCTTTTTTCCACTTCACAAAACAACAACAATCTGAAGTATTGATCTTGGCGAACCTTTTTATCCAAGTTCCATAAACCCATGTGGGGCTTTCTCTACCTTAAATATGATAGATTGCTGTTGAGTGAAGGTAACCTTAGAAATCGTATTTTGATCAATCCTGCGATGTTCCAAATGCAGAGTGGGGCTGAGTGAAAATGCCACTTTCTATTTGGTGCCTTCATTTCCATGCCCTGACCCCTGGGAGCAGTGTATCTGTCTTTAGGGAGAGCCCTCTGAACATGGGGTCTCGTGAAGGCCTGAGGTCATGGCATTTTATCTATCCAGATACAAGCTCACACTTCCCATCTTGGGGCAAGAGGGGGGTGTGGGAAACTTGGTTGCCTTCCCTACCACTCAGGACTGTGAGTTTGGGAACAGAGACCCTTTCTGGACTCAGCAGCATCTTCATTCCTTCCTGCATTCTTCTTCCCCAACATGTGGAGTCTTTATTAAGTCTTTTCTCTTCATGTCACGCATAAATCTGTTGTTTACCTGCCACATCTATTTAAAGCAAATCACCCCATTTGATAAAGACAAAGAATTTGTGGCTCTAAATCAAATCTTCTCACTGTTTTGTGGTTTCAGAGACCCTGTAAGAAATCATGAATTTTATGAAAATGCATACACTCATGATGGGATGTATTTTTAAAAATTTGTTAATTTTTTAGTTGAAGGACAATTGCTTTACAGGATTTTGTTGGTTTCTGCAAAACATCAACAGTGGGGTGTTTCGTGAACTTTTTGAAGCTGAGGTTTTCATGTTCCTGATGCTAACTTCTGGCCTTGCAACAAGCAGAAATTCTGTTCCCTGAATTTCTAGCACACAAAATACTCTTTCAAGTCGAATGTACTAAAAACAGTATGTGAGAATCTGGGAGCCAAGAACAGAGGGTGCTAGGAAAGCCTTCCAGCTGCCTTCACTGCAACCTTGAAGAATACCCCAGATGATGAGCAGCTGGGGCCCAGGCCACTGTGGGTGAGGACCCAGGTGTGTGAGCTTCTTCCTCTGCCATGCAAGCCTCCTAGAAGGAGCAGCCTGGTCTCCCATCAGACGGCGGGGTGCACTGTCACCAGCTAGGTCACCTGGACTGGGTATGAGCCCAAAGCCAGCCCATAGGCTTTCTCTTATGAGAGAATTACGACTAGAAACTAACTAGCCAACCAAATATCTAAGTAGCCAACTAGCCAAATGATTAACTAGCCAACTAGTCAACCAACTAACTCGCCAACCAATCAACTAGTTAACTAGCCAACGAACCAACTAATTGACATAACTAGCCAATCAACCAACAACTAATTAGCTAGCCAACTAATTAGATAACTAGCCAGCCAACCAACCAACTAGCCAACTAATTAACTAGATAATGAGCCAACTAACTCCTTCCTCTCTTCCCTCCCTCCTTTCTCTGAAGTTTTTCTTTTCCTCTGTTCTGCTCTCGCTCTCTCTCCTGGTTTTCATGTTTTCTTTCCCTCTTTTTTTGTTCCTCCACAAGCTGAGTGTGGCTCTGGGCCCGGGGGGTTTCCCAGCGTTGGGGTCAGGATGTCTGGGAGGAGGCAGTGTTGCTGAGACAGGGTGGGAGTTAAGGGCATTTGCTAGAAGTCACCAGCTCTGGGGGCTGCAAGGAGAGGCTGTCTGGGTGGAGACGGATGGTGAGCTGGGGCTGGGGTCGCCCCTGGGCAGGCCGGGCCATCCCGCAGTCAGGGCTGAGACCTGGCTGATTCCTGGGGTCTGATGATGTCAGGCCCCTGGTAGACTCCCCTCAACAGGCAGCCTAGTCTCAGCTGAGTTACGCCAGCTCCCCGAGGGGGCTGTGGTGCTGGAAGTGGGGGAGGGAGGTTCAGGCTGCATGGTGAACGCTTTCAGCACCTGCAGAACCACCCTCATCGTTGCCTCAGGACACGTCATCCTTTACTCCAGGGAAAGACAGAGTTGTGCGTCAGGAAAGAAGCTGGAGCAGGTATGGAAAAGTAGCTAAACAGATTTTACCACATTTGAGCACAGTATCAGCGGAGACCTGGAAGGGGCGGTCAGGGTGGACCGCCCGCTCAAGGAGCTTCAGCACAGAGAGTGATCAGCAGTACCAGGAGAGACGGTGCCACCAAGGTCAAGCTGGGCTAGAAAACGTCCTGAGCACGGGCTGAAGGTCACGCCGCAGGCGTCTCAGGAATGGAAGGCCGAAGAAGGAAGAGAAGGCAGGAGAAGAGTGATTGGATGTTCATTAAAGGGATGGAGGGGTAGTTAGTGATCCTTTAAATTAATTCATTAATTATTTTTTGGCTGCGCCACAAAGCTTATAGGGTCTTAGCTCCCTGACCCGGGGCTGAATCCCGGCCCCAGCAGCTCTAAGCTCTAACCACTGGACTGTCAGGTAATTCCCTCAACGACCCTTCTTAGAAGGCAACACAGCAATAGGTTTCAAGATCTTTGAAAATACTAGCACCGTTGGATTTTGTCACTCTTGGTTATAGGAGTCTACTTTAAGGAAACCATAACTGACATTCCCTGAAATTCATCACAGCTATTCATCGAATAGCTATTCTAATGGTTTAAAAAATCCAAACCATTAATAGGGAAGTTAATGTTAATGCATCAGTCAAGAAACATCTGTATGTGAGGACATTACACAGCCACTGGTAATTTGTTGAAGAATTCTCAGTGATACAAGGCAACTTTTTGTATTTTAAGTAAAAAAAAAAAAAAAGAACAAAAATATACAGATAATTTCAATTATGTGAGTTGATATATGCCTACATACATAGATTTATTTTTTAAAAAGCCCAGATTTTGTGTTGTATTTAAAATTTGGATCTGCTGTGATCACAATTTATTTTTGTATGTACAATTTATGTGATGAAGAAAGAAGCCTTACAAATGATTTTTGATAACTCTAAGAAAATCTATACACTTTTTCTGTTATATGGGTCAATTAAAACAAAGCCAGTTTTGTCAAAGTTGAATTAACTACCATTGGTAAGTAACATAAGCATTGATAACATCCATACCATAAATAAAATTCCTTACAAGTAGAACGGTATTGGAGTCTCAAGATCAAAAGTTTTACAACAGTTAACCATTTTGATTAGACTATAAGCTCACAGGAGTGTTTATTGTGTATTACTCCATTTCTTGGCAAAAAATACAAAATAAACCTGACTGCAGAGAATCTTCACCTGTCTTGGGCCATCATCAGAAGATCTGCTGCTCTGTTCCCTGGGTTCTCTCAGCTCTGCCAGAGAATCCCCAAGATTATAAAGGTTCCATTTAATTGTTTCTGGAACTTGTGGCCTTTGGTTTGGTAAAAGACAGCTGAGGAGCAGTGAACAGTTTAAGTTTACCTGAGCAACAATTGATGGAAACAAGGCCGCACAGTGAAGAAGGAGGCGTTGGAGGTCCAGGGAGGCGGGAGCCTGGAGAGATGCGCCTGGGAGAGGAGGAGACGGAGGGAGAAAGGAGGCTGTTCATTGGTGGAGCTCAGCATGGCTGGCCCGTTGTGATGGTACTTAGGTACTTAGGTGCAATTTCCTAATGGGAGGCAGTCACAGGCTGAGGTTTTGGTTTGTTTTCCTGTGCTATGAAGCCATCAGAGCCTTGTCAGTTTGATGGCCTCCTTACTGAGTTAACTTACAGGTTTTAATGGTGATTAATAATGATTAGTAATTAATACTGATTAATAATGATGACGATGATTTAATGATGATAACTAAGGCTGAATAAGAGTACTAGAGCACATGCTTCCCTCTGTATACACGTCTGCGCCCCTCTCCGTTGACCCACGCAGCACAGCCTACATCCCAGGCTTCTCTAGACACCCACCCCTGCCATCCCTGCCACAGTGGGGCCTGTGGGGGGATAGGGTTCCCCCCATTCCACTCCTCGGGCTCCAGTTCCACCTGCGCCCTAGAGCTTCCTCCAGGTGCCTCTGGCTTGTCTCTGGTGACACTCCTGGTTCCTCCTGTTCTCCTCATGGTCTCCTCAGAGCCTGGGGCCTTCCTCAAGAGGCTTCCTGAGCCCAGTCTCCCCTGCCTATCCCTAAGGTTGTGAGCACCCTGAAAGCACAGCGTTTTGGTATCCCTGCCCTGCACCCAGTCCCTCACTCAGGGCGGTAAACAGCAGGTGGACGTGAACTATTCACAGAAAAAGCGAGTGAAAGTGAAAGTGAATGTTGCTCAGTTGTGTCTGACTCTTTGCAACCCCATGGACTATACAGTCCATGGAATTTTCCAGGCCAGAATAGTGGAGCGAGTAGCCTTTCCCTTACTCCATGGGATCTTCCCAACCCAGGGATCGAACCCAGGTCTCCTGCACTGCAGGCGGATTCTTTACCAGCTGAGCCACAAGGGAAGAAGTGAGGGATGCTCAGTAAAAGCCTATGGAAGAGTAAGTGGTTATAGTTCAAGGGCCCTTACTCTGTTCTGCTCTCTTCCTTTCTCAGGCAAAAGGGCAGGGGGGACCAGTGTTTGACTGCTGGGATGTCTCCTGTGAAAGATGATACTTAGCATCCAGACATCTGGGAGTGCAAAGTCAAGTGGGCCTTAGGAAGCATCACTATAGACAAAGCTAGGGGAGGTGATGGAATTCCAGCTGAGCTATTTCAAATCCTAAATTCCAATCCCAAAGAAAGGCGATACCAAAGAATGTTCAAACTACCACACAATTGCACTCATTGCAAAGTAATGCTCCAAATTCTCCAAGCTAGGCTTCAACAGTACATGAACTGAGCGCTTCCAGATGTTCAAACTGGATTTAGAAAAGGCAGAGGAACCAGAGATCAGATTGCCAACATCCGTTGGATCATAGAAAAAGCAAGAGAACTTCAGAAAAACGTCTACTTTGGCTTCATTGACTGTGCCAAAGTCTTTGACGGTGTGGATCACAACAAACTGTGGAAAATTCTTCAAGAGATGAGAATACCAGACCTCCTGACCTGCCTCCTGAGAAATCTGTATGCAGGTCCAGAAGCAACAGTTAGAACTGGACATGGAACAATGGACTGGTTCCAAAGTGGGTAAGGAGTGTATTATATATTGTCACCCTGCTTATTTACTTATATGCAGAGTACATCATGTGAAATGCCAGATTGGATGAAGCACAAGCTGGAATGAAGATAGCAGGGAAAAATATCAATAACCTCAGATACGCAGATGATACCACCCTTATGGTAAAAAGCGAAGAAGAAAAAAAGAGCGTCTTGATGAAAGTGAAAGAGGAGAGTGAAAAAGTTGGCTTAAAACTCAACATTCAGAAAACTAAGATCATGGCATCCGTTTCCATCACTTCATGGCAAATAGATGGGGAAATAGTGGAAACAGCGGCTGACTTTTATTTTTCTGGGCTCCAAAATCACTGCAGATGGTGATTGCACCCATGAAATGAAAAGACACTTACTCCTTGGAAGGAAAGTTATGACCAGCCTAGACAGCATATTAAAAAGCAGAGACATAACTTTGTCAACAAAGGTCCATCTAGTCAAGGCTATGGTTTTTCCAGTGGTCATGCATGGATGTGAGAGTTGGACTATAAAGAAAGCTGAGTGCCGAAGAATTGATGCTTTTGAACTGTGGTGTTGGAGAAGACTCTTGAGAGTCCCTTGGACAGCAAGGAGATCCAACCAGTCCATCCTAAAGGAAATCAGTCCTGAATATTCATTGGAAGTGTTGCAGAAACCAGTGCTCAAGAAACCAACTACCACACTCGGAGAGTTGGAGAACTCAGGCTTATTACGCCGGCAGGCCCAGAGGAGTTAACACTCCAAGCTCTGAGCCCCGAACAAAGGGATTACAGAGTTTTTAGAGGAATTAGAGTTTTAGAGGATTAGACTGTAGTCGGCAATACTAGCTGTTAATAGGCTGGTTTAAACTAATGGGTTTCGCTCCCTCAGGAACAGCAGTAGCGATGGGAGGAGGATGCCTGATCTTTACATGGACAGGCAGGTTTGAAGGGTTGGGCAGTTGCGAAGAGCAGAACAAGGGTGAGTGAGATAAACTCACTAGTATTGCAAGTCCCCACTTTCTGAGACTACGTGTCTTATGTGATCTACACTTTGCAAGGGGCAAGCTGAGTTACAGAGGCGGAAGAAGAAGGAGATTATGGAAAATTTTAACTTTTCCTCTTCATTCTCCCCTCTTTATGTTTCTATGACTCGTTGTAGAAAGCATCATCTCATGTTTTTGGTAGGACATTCAGAGCTTTCCGCTGTTTAGGGGGCTCTTTTGAACTATTACCATTTGTAACTTTATGGATTCAATCCGAGAGGTTATGAACTGGGTAATTGCATTGAGAATATAAGCCAAAGAAGAGCGCCGCCAAGAGTGTGAAGAGAGGACCTGTTAAAGGGAGAAGCCATGATGCCTAGCTCCAGATATTGTTCCAAAACCCCAGGAATTAGCTAGTTTCTCTCTCTTTTTTACGATTTGTTCCCTTAGCTGTTGGGCCATGTCCCTGGCTATTCCTGAGTGGTTTATATAAAAGCAGCATTTTTCATTCATAAAGGGCAGAGTTTTCCCTTTTCTGCTGTCAGTAGGTCTAGCCCTCTCCTATTCTGTAAAACCACCTCAGCCAGGGAGTCTAGTTGGTCTCATAAGGCCACTAAAGATTTGGCCACTCTCTCAATGTCGTCTGTGAAGTCCTTGGGTAGTGTATAGTGGTAACAGGTGGTTGATGAAGCAATTCCTCCTATTCCCATACCTATCCCAGCCGGGATTCCCACACCAACCAGTAGGGGTATAAACTGGATGGCTCTTTTTGGCCGCATATGTGCTGCCAGAGGTATGGTGAGAGTCTGGTTGTTAGGGACAATATTCATCTGGGGAGTGAGGAAAGCTAAGGTGCAGATACCCATCTAACTGACAGGTAGACATAAGTAAGCATCCGTCCCACAAAGAAAAGGCCTTGATGGGGGCAGCACCATCTGTTACAGCAAGGGACACTCAAAGGCTGCAAAGCAGCCTGCACATAACAGATAACTGAACACTAGCAAAAGGTTTTCTCCCCATCTTTGGGTTGTGATGGCTATAGCAACTGAGCCTGTCATGAAGGGGGGTCAGCAGTTTAGGTAGTAGGTAGTAGGGTAGTAGGTAGTAGGGAGAATCGATCATAAGAGACATCTAATGAGAATGAGGTTTCTCACTACAGTGAGATAACAGACAGTTAACCGCAGCTTCTGACCCAAATCCCAGTCCTGGGGTGCAACTGAAGCTAGTCCTGTAGCGAAGAGCACAGCAATAATACCAATCAGGGATAGAGGCCAGGGTTGACAATGAAAATCCATCATTATTTCAATATCCGGATCCTCAAGCTTCTGCCAAGCGTTGACCAGCCAGCTGCCGGAATGTGGCTGGAGCAAGGCTGAAGAATCCTCAAGTTTCTGCCGTGTGTTGACTAGTCAGCTTCCGGAGTGACTACAGCAGGGCTCAGCGTCCTTCATGGGTGAGGGCTGTTGTTTTTGGAACCCGACCTTGAGGAGGTTTTCAGGGTCCTGACTGCTTTCCAGGTGTCCTCATCACAGGAAGCTGCTGCCTTCTTGACTCTGGTGTGGTGGATCCAAGGGATGACACCTACAACTCTTAACAGCAGTAGGGGTTGCCAGAACGACCATGTGAGGGCCTGTCCAAACAGGTAGAAGTGGCTCCTTTTTTCAATCTTTAACCTATATCTCATCTCCTGGCTGATAGGGATGAACCCAATTGCCCAATGGAATGGGTGTCCTTTCTCAGGTTTCTCGGGCGATATGGTGAAAGACTGTTCCCAGGGCCTGGAGGTGTTGGGACATCTCCAGGTCAGCTAGTTGTTGGTGGTCTCTCTTGAGCTTTTCTATCACTGGGGGTGGTCTCCCACATAAGATCTCAAAGGGAGAATAGCCTGAGGACCTCGGGGTGCATTTACGGAGGGAGATGAGAGTCCACAGAATGATAAGGCAGCTTGTCCTAGCACTGTCTGGGTGTTGGCTGGGGGATATTCTTGTCATACTGCTACTTGGAGAAACAAACTTAGCAAGAAAGTTAAAGATATATGGCCCAAAGATTAATAGAAGTAGGAAAGCTGCTGAGGCACTAGCTAGGAGAACCAGGTCCAGATGTTGGTTCGTGACATTAGTGTTTCTCTAGGTATGAGAAGGGAGAAGGAAATGGCAACCCACTCCAGTGTTCTTGCCTAGAGAATCCCACGGACGGGGGAGCCTGGTGGGCTGCTGTCTATGGGGTCACACAGATTCAGACACGACTGAAGTGACTTAGCAGCAGCAGCAGGTATGAGAAGATGCAAGAATTTGGACTCATAAAAATCTTTACCTCAAAATATCTGACTATCTGAAGGCCTGTTTTTCTGGGTTTTTCCCAGAGCACAGAGTGCCTTATTTTTTGTCTCCACCCTGAACTCTTTTCAACGGGGTGTTGAAGGTCAGCATCTTGTAGTGGTCATGATTTAATCTTTGTAGAGGCAGCTGGCAAGGGCCAACTTCCAGTTAGAAAGGCCCCTTCATAGTCATATTTGACCATGTTTGGGGGGCATTTCATGGTCATTGTGTCCTGTGGTGCTGGGAAGGCTCATTCCCAGGTCTAACAAAGATTCCACTGACAGGTCACTCAATGTGTTGTTACTAGACCAGGCTTTGTAAGTAGCAAAAGTCTCTGGACCATACCTGTCTTCTAACCTCTTGGTCCAGAAAAATATTTTCTCTTCTTGCTTCTTCACATATCTAGAGTACATTGTTATAATTATTGATCTCATATGAAACTGCATATCAGCGTTTTATCACAGGCTCAGTCACACATTTGGTAATGTAAGAAATAATTTTCTGAAGCAAGTTACATAGAAAATAATATAGCTAGCAGTTATTAGTAAGGTCACAGGCAAGAAAGAATTTAAGTCAAGAACTTTCATTGGGTATAGCCCGGTATACCCCAGGTCATCTGTCTCAGTTAAATGATTATGGCCACGTGTTAATCTCCTGGTTGTACATTATGGAGCATCTGGCCTTTATCCAAAGACTGGTTACTGAGATAAGCTTTGGAAACAATCTTAGAGTGACCTTTTTAGTAACTTAATTAAACCTTTTAGCAATGTAACATAACAAGGAACTGTCTCGGAAGTGAATCTTAGTAAGCAGAGATGTTAATTAACAAAACTAGAACTTAATATTTG